CTTGACGGAGAAACTGTATTTAAGACAGGACTATTCATTTCCAGATTACCGCAGCGTATTCCAAGTTGAGATATATGCAATTGCATGGGCGACCTAACTCCATCAAACCTCGCCTTTATTGTGAATAGTCAAGCTGCTGCCGTCAATACCTTTGGGTCGGTAGCACCTAACTAGATATACCGACAGCATAAAGTCAGTCTCTGCTGGATCTCTGGACATAGGGGTATGGAGAAAGCAGACCTGCGCGCGAGGAAAGGATCTATGAAAGAATAAGGCGAAACAATTTAAAGTAAATAGATTTCCTTGAGATTCCTGTTTTCAAGAGTTAAGGGGATTGCTGGAGCAGCTACTAACAGCAGGTGAACAAATCTGTGCATGCACTGTATCGCGTGCAATCTGTCCGCCGCTCCGATAAGCGAAGAACACAGAGTTTTCTAGAGCTCCAAAATAGTCTGGCATAGATATGTAGAAGCCGTAGATATGTGGAAGATATAGATTCCACCCAGTACTTTTTATGCGAATGTGCCACAAAATTTCGAGAACTTTGACAAATTATGGAAAATTATTTTAATGGGTCCATTGAGCTTAGCCCGAAAAATCAGGTTGGATTAAAGACATATCTTTTCGAGCTTGCAAGAGGGGGCACTTTCATTCCACTTTCACCCGCCTGGAATGGAACTGATATCCTTCTCGCTTCATGCAAGCTCTTACTAAGGGAACCTTTCCTTGGTGGAGCGGCTACCAGCTGAAACCTGCAATACAACGTACCTTACGTGGCCGAAATGGAATATTCGGAGATTGAGAGCAATTCTCAAAATCAATAGAGGCGTCATTTCACGGGCCATTGGCCTCCTCACAGCACATATCCTGATAGGAAGGCATGCAGAATGCCTCGGGGTCAGCCACAATCACTACTGCAAAAGCTGCAACGGGGAAGAAGAGCCTGAATCAATCAGGCAATTACCCTGTTATTAGCCTGCACTATGCAGGAATAGACAGAAATTCTCTGGTATAGGATTATGGCAGTGGCTAAGGTTCATACACTCCACAAATTGGTTTAAGGAGTAGGGATTTTGGATCCATGTGGCATCACAATGGGCCCTTGACTGGGCCTTAGTGTGCTGGCTTCCTCTAAGTTTAGCAGGCATTTAAGTCTAATCTAAAGTTATGTAGGGACAGGTTTGGGCAAATTCTTTTCTTCGCATCACAATGTGCCTTTGCGGCCTCCGTGGGAACTCTTTAAGCAGAGCTGGCCGTTTGACCTAACCAGTCTGTAAGAATTATAAACTTTGAGGAATGTTTATGAAATAAATAAGTAAGTAAGAAGAAGGTTAATTAGAAGTCTATGGTTAGGTAATAATTTGTATTGCAGTTAAAATGCAGAAGTATAACAGAGAAGAAGGTCTCTGCGGATAACAGAAAGGACATAGGACATACAAATTTACAATGATTAGCAGTATATGAAGTTCGAATTAATTTCTTATATGCGCCAGAGCTTTGAATAGTTAGATAGCTGCTTCATAGGTACTTAAACTAAGCGTTCACTAGGGTTAGGAGATCTATCTAAATCCCACCACACTTAGGTCATTTCAGACCTCGATGCTTCAATACCGGCCTATGTACGGTTTAGAGTTATGTTTAATAAAAGTTAGTCCTAGCACTAGTTTTGTTGACAGGAAAGCTAATGCAAAATACCATATAAGTTATAACTCTTTCGGTCATAAGTATTTAATTCATTATTTCACAATTAACTGAGCAAAAATAGCGACGGCAGAAAGTAGTGCCCGAAACGAGTAAGTTGTACTAGAATGTTTGGTTTGTGTCAGCTGTTACTAAGACCTGATGAAATTACTAATCCTCCTAAACAGGCTCAGCAAGGGACATCTCCCATGCTGTAATGAAAATTTTACTAACCCTCATAAACGCAGGGCGCCCAATGTGTGTATAATACATACATACTTACATATTTGTATATTAGTATTCCAGCATTTGCCTAGCGGTTAAATAACGTCAAGGCGACAGACATGTTTAGACTCATTAAAAGCGTTAAGTTGCTTAAGGACAAATATGAACGGATAGTAGATAGTTATTTTGTTTGTGGAGCTCGTATCAAGTTATTTTTGTGTATCCACCCATGACAAGATTGCCACAATTGGGTTAATACCTAAGCTATTATTGCAATCACAATGTAGCTAAGCCTTCTTAATTAGTTTCATTATTATATATTTACATATAACTAAGTAACCCCTAAACGAATACCACAATTCGGTTAAGAATATTTATGGTAAAGTATTTAAGCTTATTCAAGTTCCTTTTTACATACATATTTATGTATAGGGAATATACATATATATATACACATGTAGATATAAAATATTTTCGAAATTTCTCACTTACCTTCGGCAGCGTACAACCGTCACCATGATGATTGCGCCCAGCAACGCCGAAATCACCGAAACGATAATCAGTGTTAAGGGCCAACCCAATTCGGAAGCTTTTTCTGTGTGTGGAAAGAGAAAAGCAAAAAAAAAAAAAAACATAAACGGAAATTAGTTATGGCATACCATATCCGGCGGAAAAAGGAGATAACAAAATCCTTTACTACTACTAGTCATTCACGGAAATTCACGGCAGAAAAATTAAAAGGCCATTCAGTGGAGTAGATAGGTACATACTTGCAGCAGAGGTGGAGTTATGCTTACACATACACACCTCAAACACACATCTAGTATGCACATTAGAGTGCCACATGCTCCAAGGGAAGTAATTTACAGAAAAAAAATTGTTTCTTTTTCGCCAAGAGAAGCTTAATAAAATAACTCAAAATCAAAAACTGCTTTGCTTTCAGCTCCAAAACGCTTATGAAAACAGCTTGCTGTATGAACACTTTCATATAGCTACAGCGATTTGAAAGCTTCACTTAGCTCGGAATGGCTTTGTTCGGCTCGGGCCCGCTTACTGCGTGAACGTACCCTAAGGCACTCGCTACACGCAGAGAAAAATTCTGTTCTATGTAAAAGCAAACCCGACCGGATAAAGTTTTTAACTTTTTGTTCCTAAAATTTTAAAAGATATTCCGTCCTAAGCCTTTCAAAAATATCAATAAACATGAAAGCAGAATTTGTTGCCAAGAAAAAATCTTAAAATTAGAATTTCTAGTTCGATGTAAAAATTTTTTAATTGAACTTTTGTTACCGAAATCCTTGACAAGGCCATGATTTAAGTATCAAGTTTTTTTGGTATTTTTTCTGAGTGTAGGGTGGTATGCTTCTTATACCCAATGACGTGGGTGCTTATAATCAACAAGACATTACTCAGGATAAGAGGTAGCGCTTCTAGAATCGTATGCTGATGATCTGGCCATTACCATTTCTGGTGGATGTCTAGCCTCGATGAGTGAAATTTTCAAGCGAAAATTGAAAGACTGGATAAGAGAGAAAGAACTGGAGCAGAGAGGTGCGGATCTAATAAATCCAGATGAGAGGGCCTAGGTACTACTATTTGAGGGAAATAATAAGGGAATACAAGATAATCTCGTTTTCCACTATAGCTCAGTAATAGCACTCTAACTTCTAAACTATTTATACAAATCTAGGAGTTGTTGTGGAAAGTAAATTGGCATGAAGGCTGAATGTAGAAAAGAGTTCGCAATGCTAGAGCGCTTGCAGCAAAACGCTTGCAAATGTGTGTGACGTATGTATAAATACCCTTCACTCAAGCATTGGATCTACACAGCAGTCATTATTTACATCAGAACTGCTCTAGGTGTTGGTATAGTGGCCGTCCGTCCAAAAAAAAGCATAATTTAATAGGTTCAAAGGTGTGCAAATCCTTCCGTAGCTATGTATAAGTAGTTAACATTCTCAATCTGTAAGGCTACAGACCTTGTTGCAAATAAATGAAGAAATCGCTCCTGATACTGAAAGTAAACACAACGGTACCTTGGTCAAAGTAATTTTCGTCCACCAACCGGTAAATAAGACTATGTCACTTGTCGGATAAGCCTTGTATAAGGGCCCTACGTCACAATATGTAGAGCAAGATGGGTTGGAGGAGGAACTACGATACAATCACCACATCTATCAATTCTTTAAGGGCGGGTCTGGAAGGAGTGAGGAATTGGAAGCTTCTGAAATTTGTCTGCAGCTTTTGGACTACTAAAACATTTTATATGATCTATGGGATCTATGCTGCAATTAAAGCAGCTGATTTTACGGAGAATCTGGCTTCAGACAGTCCGAAATTAGATCAGCAATGGCTACAATGACAAACATTCCTTGCGTTAACCTATGAACAGAATTCGCGAACTCCGCGTTAATAGTTGATTCGCTATAAATAGCGCACAAAGGAATGTGCGGGATATGCTAGTGAAAAGCCGGAGAAAACTAACACTGGGTAACACAGCAATCTTCCATACGGTATCACCATTATTTAATTCTGAATTAAACGCAGCAATGACTTTGAAGCCGAAAGCGTTAACAGCCTGCAATCACCAAATATATTCCAACATTTCCAAGGCTGGATTGCCAAGGTACGGAATACCTTAAAGCTAGGACTGACACAGACTGAAGAATGCATGATATGTGACAAATGTAACTCCAAAGGCACGCTAGAACGTCTACTACTTAGCAATCTTGGCTATGTTTTCTTCTTCTCACACACTAGATTAGAAAACAAACTGACCTCCACTTTCTTGAGAACACTAAGGATCAATTTACGGTCTATGTGAGATGTTATGGAAGAGCCAGTCGAAGCTAGTCTACATTTAGCTCTTGAATGATGCTGAACTGCTTAAAAACTATATTCCGCGAATCCTAAAACGAACCATTTTTCCATCCAATCTGCGAAAAAGTGCAATTTTTTTAGGTGTGTTCCACCCTAATGTATGTAAATTTTCATATCACTATGCGAGGTATTAGTTACGGACACACATATCATGAATATATTCAATGCACAGTTCCGGAAAAGCACCTAAAGCCTCTAGCTGTCTCCGCATCCTAAATGCGCTGACAGCAACGAATCCTTTTTTCCATGCATACCTTAAAACATTTGCATAGACAATGATTGCCAAGCACATACACACAACCACAAGCACAAACACTCGCAAACTTCATCCTTAACCACTTCAATCACATAGTACACCCACAGACGTTCGCCCATCTGGTGTCCAAGCACCTTACATCAGTCAGTCGCACTCGCACTCGCACTCCACTTCACCCCACATTCCACACAAATCCATACAACCAATTTCACTTAATGGCAGTATACTTTTACACTAAACCACTCAGCACTCACCCCACGCTTTCACGCCCACTTTACTCACCTATTGTGCCCTCGAATATAAATGTACTCTTCGTAGGCATAGCCCATGAGCACAAATCACACGTTGTCAGTCCATCACTCAGCACCGGTTCATCGGGAAAGAAGGGTGGCCGCGGTGGCGGCGGCACAAAACGTCCATTCCATAAGCCATTCTCGCTAGCGTCAAACGCCAATGGTGAGCCAAACAAATCGTCATCGTCGTCAAATATATCGAAGGACACATCACGAAAATTGTTCAAATCCTCAGCTGAGCTGGCGACAAGATTTTCTATGCTTGGCGGCCGGAAGGTTGGATATGTGACAGGCGCAGCAGCATTACTGCTGCCTCCAACTCCGACTCCACCACTGCTACTGCTGCTTGAGCTACTGCTACCGGTTCGGTTTATATTTGTGACAGCATCGATGGCAGGCAGAAAATTGGATAGCAACATATTGGCGAGGCGGTTGGGCAGTGTGTCATTGGGATCAACAACATTTACGCCTACTCTACTTCCACCTCCGGTATCCGTATCGACATCTGGTTGCAATCGTCGTTCCAATGTATCCGGCTGTTGAGTTGATATGCTATTGTGGTTGTAGTAGCTGATGCTGCCGATACCGTTGCCACTGATGCTGGATGGCACTGTTTCCTTAGTTGCTGTTGTTGTAGTTGTTGAGTATGATGTTGCTGACGCTGCTGCTGCTGCTGCTGTTGCTGTTGCTGCGGATGTGAGTATTGTGGCGGCTGCTGTTGCAGCTTTAAGCACTGCCGACCTGATGGGCCGTAGGCTGCGGGTTGGCGCGGGCGTTGATATTTCACTTGTTATGGCAGGCATTTTATTTACTTTTTGTTTTGCACTTTTTTTCCGACTATGCTTAGCTGCTATTAGTTCGTTTTTTTTTTTTTGTTTTGCTATAAACTTTGCACAAGTAATTTTTGTTGCTGTAGTTTCTTTTCACAGTTACTTTAGTTAGTTTTTATCGCTTAGCAGCGGATTAGTTAGCATTCATTGCGCTGCGCCGTGTGTGTGTGGCTGCCACTGCAGTACGACTTAAAATGTGTACTTAAGTTGAGTTTGAAACCGTTTTCACCCGAATCGACGGCACCTACGTCCTCTCGTCCTCTCTTCTTCCACTCCTTCTGCCTTTCCCTTCGCTTCTCCGCTCTTGCACTCTCCTGCTGTTTTAAATTTTATGCCATACAATCATACAAGGACATAAGTACGCGCTCGCACACACACACACATACAGCTACGAGCCTTGAGCGTGTAAAATTGTTCTGTCTCTCTGCAATCTTTTATACGATTATCACTATGTGTGCAGGAATTTATTTTTCAGCACAATCTGATGTGCCGACACATTTTTTGTTGAATATCCCTCAACTCGCTATCCTTTTGCTTTGATTGTGACCTTTTTTCTCTCTACTCGGCTCTGCTCTTATCTTCTCCTGCTGTTGTCACATGTGATTGAAGTCAATTGCAGTAACTAAACCTTGGCTGTAACGAAAAAGAAAGCAAAAGAAATGAGTGAAAAAGGAGATTAAAAATGGGGATAATATAGTTTTCGTTTTTTATCTAGATTTTATTGCCACGAAAGGACAAACGTTGAACTTCATGTTCGACAGCAAAAAAAAAAAAAAAAAAATGAAACATAGAGGGAGACCGGTTGAGTGAGAGTGTTGGTGGAGTGTGTGTTAAGTGTGCGTGTAAAAGTTGTTGCAATCTGTTAAATAAGCCAATAGAAAGTACTTTTCTTAATTGAAACTCACTGAATGAAAAGGATGTGGAATCTTGTAAAGTGTAATTTAGCGAGAATTGTGAAGTGATTTGTTTCGGATGCTTTGGAATTCAAGTGGGGGCATAGGGAAAATTGTCTGACCATTAGATATCGATTGGAAAACTAAAATGTGTATTGGTATGAAAGTAATTATTGGGCATACTGCAAATATTGAAATAGTTTGTCTGATCACTTTGTTTAAAAAACCAACAAAAGAAAAATTTAAAAAAAAATAACTTTTTCGTAAGTTCTTCGAAATTACGGAAAGAGAGTTGGGGAAGAGACATTTTAGAATTCTTTTGATATTTCCATTTCGATTATTTAATGTTTATTATCTTTTTTTATGAAGAACCATTACGTCAAACATTGTACAAAAATTAGAAAAATTCGACAAAGTTTCATCCAAGTTTGAGCTTTTTAATTAGATTTCTAAGAAACATTCTGAGTATGCAATTTTTTAGCCCATTAAATTTTAGTATTTCAAATTTTAAGTATATAGGACTTACCGTTGATTTTAGAAAATTTCTTTTTGCTCAGTTTCTCATACTCAAAAAAATTCTAAAAAATCTGATTTAGAAGTTTCAGATTGTGAGAAACATTTGTTAATATAATGGTGATTTTGTTTCTACAAAAAATGTTGCCTTCTCATCGCCCTCCTCTTAGCGTTTGTGCGTAGTGGGCAAAGAGAAGGCTGCATTTTTAGGTAGAAACGAAATCGGCATAAGATTCGTCAAATTTTTATAAATGTTCTACAAAGCTTGAAATTTTGATTTGCAGGTTTTTTTTTAGATAATAGCAGCTATATTTTCATAGAAAAATAATAAACTTTTTAAACAAAGAAAAGTAGCCAAAACTTGCTTAAATGTCTTTTCTCTATTTACATTCTCGCCACCGTACGTACACTCTAAAAAATCTGTTTCAAAATGCGACTATAAATCGAGTATATTTTTGTTTACTTTTAGAATTTTTTTGTAAATTTTTTTAGAGTGTATGTAGTTGCAAAAAAAGGTGTAATCTTTCTAATGTTGCAGACACTGAAACTTTCCTTGAGGATGTCAAAACATTGATTTCATTGGCTTCCACTGTATGCTGTATAATTTTGTCATAAATTTTGTATTAAGAAATTAAAACCTTATTATAAAAAGGTTAGTTTCCATATTTAACAGGCATCTTAGAATAAAGCCGATGAGAGACTTGTCATTGCAGATATTGAAAAAAAATTCTAGTATTAAGTTATTATTAGCTTAAGTATTTTGCCGACCAAGCGTCGAACTTGTCTTATGGGATGGTGTATACACCTAAAACTACTCCAATACGGGAAGTACCCATCACCGCAAAATTTTGTACCCTTTCGGCTACTTTACTTTACTCGGCAATTTTTAGCCAGTTTTTACATGAAGCCATGGGTGACATGGTGTGTCATTATTCTTTGTAATATCTAACTACATCAGTACAGGCCTCCAGACTATGGCAGAAGAGGTCGTGGCGTATATTAGAGGGAGGCGATTTTATTTGGGACTGATCGGCACTAGCTAATATGAGATCAGAGGTCGCGATAGTCGTTTCGTTGATGAGCTCATCCGATGCAAGTCAACGAAATTTTTACTTTAATACAATTTTATTGTTGATTAAGCCTGAACGAAGCTGCAAAGATTAGAAAAACCCGCATAAGGTTTACTTAGAATTTTGTATAATACCGAAAACCTTTTGCTTAGCTTTCAGCTGCGGTTAAAGCTGGCAGAAGACATGAGATACTTATATGTATGGTTTTCATTCAATTTTGCTTTTGGTGATTGGAGTGAAGAAAATGCAAAAAGAGTATAGAATTTCGAAGTATCCTCACCAAAGGCCTCGTCCGAACGAAGCTGTGATCAAATTATATTTCAAAACTTCTTCGCTGTTCACTTTTGGTGCCAAATAAGCGGTTAAAAGGGGATCCACAGCTTTTCAATTCCTGCTTAGACACCTCAAAATATTTTCGACTAATTTTACCTCGGAAGAATGTTTTCCTTCATAAATTTTTTGGCTTAATTTTCTAAAAAAATGCATATACACTCACCAGAATATGTTTGCGCACAGTTTTTTTTTTAATATTTGCAATGTTTTTCGTAATAAATTTTTTCGTTAATTTTTAATATAAATATAGTTCATTCTGCATCAAATGGCATATAAATTAATGATTCAAAATTTTTTACAAAATTTAGGAAAATTCGACAAATTTTCACCGAAATTTTCAACTTAAAAAAAAATTAGAATTTTAGTAGTATGCAGAATAGTTGAGTATGCAGTTTTGTAGCTCACTCAATTTCAGTATAATAAAGTGCAAGTTTTAAGTGGCTATAATCTACCGTGGATTTTTGAGAATTTTTTTTACTGACTTTCTCATACAAAAAAACTATCACGCATATGGAAAATACGAGCAGCATCATCAGCAAATAAAATTCTCTTAAAACTTGCACTTTGTCATACTGAAATTAAGTGAATTCTAAAAAAAATTTGTTTAAATTTGAAAATTTTCGTGAAAATTTGTCCAATTTTCCTAAATTTTGTAAAAACTTTGAAGCATTAATTTATAGCCATATGATGCAGAATGAACTATATCTATACTAAAAATTAACGAAAAAAATTTATTACGACAAACATTGCAAATATTTAAAAAAGAAACATATTCCGGTTAGTGTATGTACATTCTACGTTGTTTCTTGAATTCTAACATCACATCGAGAAAAAAAAACCTTAGAGTTTGAAAACCTTACATCCGCACATGGGCTAGGAAATGTTGTAGGGTGCACTCGGCTCTTTGTCACGTCCGCTTGCTGGTGTGTATGCGATTTATGCAGCCGGCACAATAAACACTATAAGTGCATAAGCCAGATGTACACCTTTTAAAATCTATAACTTAATGTACTAAGTATGCGGCTAACCTGACCAAAAAGTAATCAATGGCAATTCATTTGGAAAAAAGAATATTGAATAGTAGTTGTAGTGAACTATTCTTTTTAAAAGGATCAATAAATTGTGGTTGAAAAAGGTATGTATGCACAAGTATGACTTACAAAATCAATGAAAGATAGCGCTGTCAATAGGAGCAAAAAAATCAGTATAGTGTATAGAGTTGCGGAAGATCACTATATGCGGACATCATCGCCAGAACAAAATTTGGCCTCAAAGTTGATCTCGACTCTTTTGTGAGCGCATTCGCCAGACATCAAAAGAAGACCAGGAGCAGCTATGCGATGTTCGTGACATTTATATGCTTTGTGGCAGTTTATTGGGGACAAATTCTGCATTTTTTTTTCAAACAATAAAACAAACGCACGCAAATAATAGATATCCTTATTGCAATTCTTTACATGGCTTATCCCTTCTTTCCTCTAGCCGCAAAAATACAATACTATCGTGTACAATCAAAGAATTTCATGCGACAAAGCCGCTGGGGCTTTCTTTCGTCGACTCGAGCTAATGTCACCAATTGTAGCGACAGAAAAAAAAATTTTTGAAAATAAGATACCATTCTCGCTACGCACTGTAACCATTGATACAAAAAAAATTTAAATTCATATGAAATATTCATCCCCTAAGGACTTAAAAGAAGATATTCTACGACGAGTATTAAGGCAGCTCAAAAATCGAAATTGACAGGCAACATTTCTTTGTATATTTGTATCTACATATGTGCATACATAAATACAGAGTTTTGTATGAATAAATACAAAACGTAGTAATTCTAAATGGAATGCGCGATTAGTAAGTAAAGCGTAAACTTGATGTTAAACATTTATTTTTGACAGAATTTGGGATGCCAATCACCTGGATGACATACAAACGGGAATTAAAGATATGACATATACATACATACCGTGTATACATATATAGTTAATCCATCGATTTTTGAAAATCGACATATGACCGAGCATGAATTTCGTTTTCCTACTGTCGAATGTCGCATGTCAGATAAATATGTGCATTTCTACGTATGTTTGTATATATATATGTATGTAGTTGTACCAATGAGCAACAAATGCTTCAATCCAAGTGATATCTTGACAGTTTCGACATAAACGACGGTGCTTCGGATTATTGTTATTTAAAATTTTTTTTTTCTTCTTCCAAATGTGCATACAATGCTACTGACATGGCTACGCATGTACATACATACATACAAGCGAAAATGAGGGTAGGTAGCGCGAAATGATTTCGTTAAGGCATTGTCGGGATAAATAAGGATTCCACAATTTAAAAAGTGAGTAGAAGTTTTTGTAGGTATGTGAAAGGTAACAATTTTTTTTGTATGTTGTTCAAAGAACACAGGGTCCCACAATAATCAGTAGACAATAAATAACTTGTGGCTTGATATTTCAATTATAAATTACACTATTATACCTTTTGAGTAGTATTTCAAAAATATCGATTTGCAAAAAATAAAACCTTGACTCCATCCCTGCTGATTCAAGTGAAAAATGAGCTGTTGAACGCGGTTTGGGAGAGTCTGATAAATTGCAAGACAGAAGAAAAAAGTATAATTAATCATTTTTAAATTTTTTTTAACCGTATTTCAATCGTTAAGAATGTGCCATTTTAAAGAGTCTGAGACGTAAGAAAGTTTTAAGGTTAATAAAATGAATAATAAGAAAGTATACTACTATAAGCGCCCCACATAGCTATTGAATTTTTATTTTGTTATTTAATTTTAGATATTTCTTATAAAAAATATAGCTTTT